AGCTATCATCACTCTGAGAAACTCCATCTTCCTTCCTCTAGCCAGAACAGCTGCTACTACTATTTTTCTCTAGAACAAATCTGAATTTTAACTAAATCTTTATTTTTTAATTTTTTGGTACCAGGGTTAGAACCCAGGGGCACTTAAGCACTGAGCCACATCCCAGTCCTTTTTATATTTTATTTAGAGACAGGGTCTCACTAAGTTGCCTAGGGTCTTGCTATATTGAGAAGCCGGCCTTTAATTTGTAATCCTCTTGCCTCAGCCTCCCGAACCTCTGGGCATGTGATTATAGGAATGTGACTGAATCTTAAGAGGAATAAGGGGGAAAATAGTAAAATGGAATTAGTTTAAGGAAACTAGAACTAACTGTTTTAGTTCAAAAAATTTTCTCTACACTGCCTTAATTTTCTATTGCACAAAATTTCATGATTTAAAGATTATTTGTTAATTGGTGTCTTCTTGTTTTTCTGAATTAAAACAAAAAACTTCAGCAATACTTACAAATTAAAATAGTATAATGAGCTGGGCACAGTGGCACACTCTTGTAATTCCAGCAGCTTGGAAGGATGAAGCAGGAGGATCGAGAGTTCAAAGCCAGTCTTGGCAACTTAGCAAGCCACTTAGCAACTTAGTGAGACCCTGTCTCTAAATAAAATACAAAATAGGGCTGGGGATGTGGCTCAGTGATCCGGTGCCCCTGAGTTAAATCCCTAGCACCCCCCACCCCGAAAAGGGTATAATGTACTTCTACATATCTTTTCATTAACTTAACAGTTGTTAAGATTCTGCTATATTTGTTCTATTCTTTCTAAATTACTTCAATGTAAGTTTTAGAAACCAACATACTTCACTATGCATTTCCAAAGAATAAGGATTACTACATAATCACAATAATTATCACAGGTAAGGAATTAACAATTACACATTACATAATATTCATTCTCTAAATGACCCAAGAGAAGTCTTTGTAGCTTTTATTTTTCCCAAATCAGGATCCAGACAAGATTCACACATTACATTTGGTTGTTACGTCTTTTCTTGCTTCATTTAACCTAGAAAAGCCCCTTTCATACCTCTTTTCCCTCTACAAAGTGACTTAAGAATCCTGGTCAGTTGTTTTGACAGCCATCATACCTTCTTTTTAAATATTTATTTTTTTAACTGACACAAAATAATTACACATATTTATGTGGTACCAGACTATATACAAACAATGCATATGCTGTGTAATGTTCAAAATAGAGTAGACCAGCTATCTCCTCAAATGTTTAACATCTTTTGGTGGTTAAGAATATTCAAAATCCGTTCTTCTTGTTGGATGTGATGGCACATGACTATATTCCTAGCAATTTAGGGGCCAAGGCCCGAGGATCACAAGTTCAAGGCCAGTCTCAGCAATTAAGCAAGACCCTGTCTCAAAATTAAAAAAAAGACCTCAGAATGTAACTCAGTGATAGAGCACCCTGGATACAATGGGTACAACCCCTAGTAACTAACACACACACACACACACACACACACACACACACCCTTTCTTGCCTTTCTGAAGTCTACATTAACTATAATTACCCTACTGTGTAACAGAACAAACTCTTCTTTGACAGGTGATTGCCCATGGGTATTACATGTCCTGATGATTAAGATAAGGTCAGTTACTACAAAAGAACAAAAATCTAGATAAAGCAGAAAGGTAGTAATTGTGAGCAAAAGATACTTGGGACAAAAAGAATAGGACTAACCCCAGTGGAGAGTCCAAGGTTTGGGACCCAATGCAAATGTGAAGGAGTCTCTGGGAAACAGTAAAAGAATATGAAAAGTGAAACAGAAAATTTAAAAAACAGATCTTATCAAAATTCTACCCAGGGCAGGTCCTTTGCCTTTTAAAAACGAGGCACTTTTATTTTGCAGCACATGGCTGCTGCTTGCCTACAAGACAGACTACTCAAAATGCTCCAATATTTTATAAATCAAATAAGATTTATGAGGGTTGATCAAGAAACATGGTTTTATGGGAAAATATCAAGTTTAAACAACGGAACTGATAACAAACTTTTGGAATATAGTACATTCTGTAGATCAAGGCTAGTTTGCCTTTTTAGGTAGAAATGGAAAACTGAAATATATCTGGGCATGGAGGCACACACCTGTAGTCCCAGCAACTTGGAAGGCTGAGGCAGGAGGACCACATGTTCAAAACCACCCTCAGCAATATAGTGAGGCCCTTAGCAACTTAGTGATACATTGTCTCTAAATAAAAAAAATCAAAAGGGCAGAGGATGTAGCTCAGTCTTCATGTACCACCAGTTTCAATCAATAATAGCCCCCTCCCCCCCCACACACACAGACTGAAATACAGTTGTGGCTGAGTATTGTGGAGAATTGGTTCCAGGACACCCCACAAATACTGAAATCCATGGATTTTCAAGTCCCTTATATAAAATGACATAGTATTTGCTTTAATCTGTGTACATGTCCCATATACTTTAAATCGCCTCTAGATTATTCATAATGTCTAATATAAAGTAAATGTTGTATAAATAGTTGTTATACTGATAAGAAAAAAAAAGGTTATACATGTTTAGTATAAACACAACCATCAATTGACCTAACTATGTTTTTGATCCACTGTTGGTTAAATCTATGGACATGAACACTAATATATGGAGGGCTGACTGCAAAGTTTTATTATGAAGTATGATCCATACCACATTATAGGATTATCTTTTAGGTTTACTGAGAAACTGTGAGAGACTAGTTAAGCAGAAAGGCACTTTTAAAGTAACTGGGTATATTGGGGCAGATAGAATACCTGAACACAAAACGAAAGTCACATTGACATAGTCACTTTTCCCACTACATCCTAATTTAAGCATGCCAATTTATTAACTATAATACATATGTATTTCCTTTTGCTTCCATAATTCACCTGAGTTGTTTTTTAACTATTTAAATTAGACCTTACACACAAAACCTCAGATGAATTCCATCTTACTATTCTGTTATGTGTATATACACTTCTAATTGATTTTGTAATATGTCCCTCTTTTATATTTCAAATATCTTAAGATAGGTACAAAACCAGAAACATTTACTATAACCCCTCCACACACAGAAAAATGACTAAAAGAAAAAATGACTCAGAAAGCAGAGAAAAGAACATAAACAATGTCATATGGTATGGAAAAATGCAGGCTTTGGGGAAATCACAATATCAAAGAGGGAAATTTGATATATAACTATTAGTAATGAGTGACTCTGAGAAGAAGAGCATCCAACATCACTGAGGGAAATAACTTCTAGTTATTAAAGTATTTTTAGCCAATCCCTAAACACAGATGGTCATCACCATCATTAATACCATCTCTAGGGGGAAGAACAATATTATGACTAAATCATTATCTCTGGTTTGGAAACAAACTGTAGAAGTTGAGTATAAAACATGGCACAAACAGTCTAATTGCTCAAAATCACTTCTTAAAGCTGATCACACCAGCATAAACATCATTTTTAAATTCCCCTAAAATAATTAGTCCTCACAATTTGGGGAAGGATTCTGGATTCTTAATGATTTATAACATAGTAAAATTTAATTCTTTTGTGGATACAATTTTATCTGAATAATTCTGGGTTCTTGTGATAATCAAGGAAATAAAAATGAAAATCACAAATAAATATCACTTACCCCCATCAGCTAGATAAAAACATTAAGTTCTGACGGCCAGATCATTCTTATTATTAGTGTGAATGAGTACAATTATAGAAATTGGAAATATCTGGTGAAGGTGAAGAACTGACTATAGAACTTGACATTTTACTCCTCAGCATTTTACCCAAAACAATCTCACATATGTGCTTAAGGAAACATGAAAAAAGGTGTACTACTGACATTTAGTGGGTAGATGGCAAGGATATTGCTAAAAATCCTAAGATGGACCAGATAGCACCACACATCAAAGAACTATCTGACTCCCAAATGTCAATAGCACTAAGACTGAGAAACCCACCCTGAACAAGAGGCACGAGTAGCAACAAGGATAAATCCCACAAACATAGTTGAGGAAAAGAAGTTTCAGAAGTTGAAAAACATTAAAAATGCCTTATGTTGATTTTTGTATGCACACATATGTAGTAGCATTAGTGAAAATATAAAAATGTTAATAGGAATAATAAATTCCAAATTCAGGAGCTGGGAGAGGGAGAAGAGAATACAACTATTGAGGAGCACAAAAGGAAAATTGAACTACACTAGTGTTTAACTTTGGATGGTGGACACATGGATATGTTATAGGACTCCCTATGTTTTTATAGTTCTAAATTTTTCATTAAACTAAATTTTTTAATATTTATTTTTTTTAGTTTTAGGTGGACACAATGTCTTTATTTTACATTTATGTGGTGCTGAGGATTGAACCCAGTGCCTTGTGCATGCTAGGCAAGCGCTCTACCACTGAGCCACAACCCCAGCCCTTAAACTAATCTTTTAAAAGAGAAAACTAAGTCATTCTAAGTGGAAATAAAGAAGAAAAATACAGAATATTCAGGAATTAAGAGAAAAGTCACCATCTGCACCATCTGGGTGCAGTGGCGCATGCTTGTAAACAACCCGGCAACTTGGGAGCACTAACTGCAGCATTATAGGCAGCCCTTGCTTTACCTGAAGACTGTATCTGACAAATTTGAATTGCGCGGTTGTTTTGATGAGGAAAAAAAGCATTCCAAGCACCAAACTATCTTCTCAGAATCTAAGACTACTGTACCAACTCTATATGTAACCCGTAACATGGTTGAAAAGCAGCTGACTTATTTATAATGTCAAATAGTTGAATCCTATTTACCTCTACCTTCCTGAGATAATGATAGCTACCTTGTCTGAGGCAAGAAAAAACTTTATGCACATCAAAAACATGCCCCCCCCACCCGTGGTCTATTATTATCATGGCAGTAACTGCTCAGGCATTCATGGAAAGGTACAAAGATACTTAAGGAATATTTCTTACTTTCTGGGAAAACTGTTCCTATCTGTGTTCTTCATAAGGTATCAATATTTTTCAAGCAGTCTCTCCACATTACTCCCACTTTTGCCTGGTTTTACTCTGTGGCTTTTGCAAACATTTCCCTTTAAGTTAATCCTTTTGAGGCTATTGTTAGCTCTGTACTCATGCTTGAATTGGCTGCATGAGCATGGGCATGTCTGAGCTTTAACTTCCCTTATTTTAAAAGGAACTCATCATACTATTTATATAGCAGGATTGTTGTAAGATTCATGTATATGAAAATTTTGTCAACTATGCAATGCTACAGGAATCTGAAGTATATGTATTATCATAGCACAATTTTTTTGTAGAAATGCTGTTGACTAGCCTAGGAGTCACAGAAGTGGCTGATGAAGCCCATTGCCTTTTAAATTTTTAATGTTCCTGTTCTTTTTGACCTTATTACTATGTCTTGTTATTGACTCCTAATCTTTTAGGAATGGCCCAATGAAAAGAACAATTATGTTTTAAAACATACACCTGCCTACTCCAGCTGTTTCATGTGGAATCTTAGTTCTTTATTTAATAACAATTGTCTGATGAAAGAAAGTAGACAGTGTTTTGAAAACAGATTAAGTAGTAGGATTAATTTCGTTTTAAAAGCTTACTCATGTTTTTTAAAGGTATATTATACAAAAAAATATATAGAAGCTAATGCTTTCCTATTTGTTCTAATTTTAGAGGTGGTAGTGATTTTAGATAAAAGCAAATGGGTAGGAAAACTTAAATAGATGTGAAATTATTATGTAGATACCATTAAGGCAACTAGTTCTGTGTTTCTTGCATTGATGGAAATAATCCATTCATTAAACAAAGCAGGCATGTTTTTATAGCCCTGGTATAAATATAAGTGGGTGACTTGGAATGTTTTATGTGTTTGATTTATCATCAGTCTCCCTGAATTATTTCAGTTTTGGTAACTTACTTCCTCCCAGCCACCTCTGTTACACTGGGGGTTGAACCCAGGACCTCATGTATGCTTGCCAAGTGTTTTACAATTGAGGTACACACCCAGCCCTTTTTGTTTTCTGGAATAAGGAAATGTGTTGGAATTAGATCATAGTCATGATTACACAAGCTTGTGAAAATATCAAAATTGGTGAATTTGATACATTTGTGGTGCTGGGGATGAAGCCCAGGGCCTCAGGCATACTAGGCAAATGATCCACCACTGAGCAATATCACCAGTCCCAACTATAACTTTCTTTATAAGGAAAAATCCATCTATAATTTAGTTCAAAGACAAAAGAGTAACCAAAACCACTGATGCAAAAGCATTAAATATCAATGAAAACTAAAAACAACCATAAATATTTAAACATTTTCATAGAGTAAGCTGAAAAATAAAACTTGCTTTAATTGTTTTATATTTTCTATAACTGGTTAAGAACTAGGCTGGAAATGACAACTTTGACCAAACATTTCATATATTTCATTGATTTATAAAAGCCATCACTGCAATAATAATTATACTAATTATTCAACATTAAAATGTCTTTAAAAGTTTTAATTATTGGGACTGGGGTTGTGGCTCAGTGGTAGAGGGCTGGGTTTGATCCTCAGCACCACATATAAATAAATAAAATAAAAGGTATTGTGTCAACTACAACTAAAAAATATTTTTTAAAAGTTTTAATTATTAAAAAGTCTTATAGTAGACTGGGGTACAACCCAGTGGCTCAGTGATGGAGCACTTACCTAGCACATGTGAGGCACTGGGCTTGAGCCTCAGCACCACATATAAATAAAATAAAGGTATTATGTCCATTTACAACTGAAAATATTTTTTTAAAAAAAGTCTTGTACTGCCAGGTGCAGTGGCACATGCCTGTAATTCCAGCAGCTCAGGAGGCTGAGGCAAGGTCATGAGTTCAAAGCCAGCCTCAGCAGCTTAGCAAGGCCCTAAGCAACTTTGTGAGACCCTGTCTCAAAATTAAAAAAAATTAAAAAGGACTGGGGATGTGGCTCAGTAGTTAAGTGCCCCTGGGTTCAATGCCTGGTACCAAAAAAAAAAAAAAAAAAAAAAAAGTTTTATACTTAGAAAACAAACAACTTGATTCATAAATGGACCAATGACCTTACCAGACACCTCAATGAACAAAATACTTGGATGGTAAATTGGCATATGAAAAGATGCCCCAAATCATAGGAAATGCAAATTAAAACAAGAATGAGATACCATTACACCTATTAGAATGGAACAAATTCAGAGGAATGACAACATCAAATACTGGAGAGGACGTGGAGCAACAGAACTCATTTGTTGCTGCTGGGAATGCAAAATGGTACAGCCACTGTGGAAGACAGCTGGGTAGTTTCTTATAAAACTAAACATACTCTTAATATACAATCCAGCAATCTTATGGTATTTACCCAGTGGAGTTGAAAACTTATGTCCACACCAAAACCAGCACATAGATGTTTACAGCAGTTGTATTTACAATTGCTAAAAACTGGAAATAATCAAGACGCCCTTCAGTAGGTGAATTGATAAACTATGGTACAGCCAGACAGCAGAATATTATTCAGCACTAAAATAAATGGGCTATCAAACCATGAACAGACATGAAATAAATGTAAATGAAGCAAGGAATGATGGTGCATACCTGTAATAACAGCCATTTGGGAGGCTGAGGCAGGAGGATCTCAAATTTGAGGCCTTGGGAATTTAGTGAGACCCTATCTCAATAAATAAATAAGGCAAGGATTTAGTGACAAAGTGTCCCTGAATTTAGTACCAAGGGAAAAAAAAAAGAAAAAGAACATCGGAAATGCAATTACTAAGTGAAAGAAGCCAACCTACAAAGGCTACATACTGTATAATTCCATCTCTATGATATTCTGAAAACGACAAAACTATGTAGAACAGTAAAAAGATGAATGGTTGTCAGAGATTGGAGGAGAGGAAGAATAGGCAGAGCACAGAAGATACGTGGGGCAGTAAAAATACTCTGTACATACTGCAATGATGTATACATATTGTTATAAACTTGCCCAAACCCATAGAATGCATAAAATCAAAAGTGGACCCTAATATAAAGTATACTAATATGTGTGGGGAAGAGAGACTATGGGAAATTTCTGTACCTTCTGATTAATTGTGTTGTGAACTTAAAATTCTTCTAAAATTAAGTCTAGGATTGGGGCTGTAACTCAATGTTAAAGCATTTGCCTAGCACAGGAGAGGCTCTGGGTTTGAACTCCAGAACCATCAAAAAATAGTCTACTTAAAAAAAAAAAAAAACGTCTTGTACTGATGTCAGAATAGACAGAAATATTCTTACAATAGAACAGGAAGTTCTAAAAACAGGCATATGTGTATATGTAAGAATTTAGTATATAACAAGGACAAAATTTCAAATATACTTGGGAAATCAGTAAGTGGTACTGGGATAATATGTTAAACATTTGAGATGACATCAGGATCTAAAATTTCAACTGAACTGATGAGATACAGCAATTTGTATACGGGGTAAAAGCGGGAGTTCATAATCCACTTGAATCAAACCGTGTAATATGATGTATTAAGAACTATGTAATGTTATGAACGACCAATAAAAAAATAATAATAATAAAATAAAATAAAATAAAATTTCAACTGAGTTAATGCCCAAAACTTAAAAAAAAAAATAAGATAGAATGCACTACAAATATATAAAAGTGAATACTTATTAACCAAACAGTGTCAGAAGGCCTTCCTAAGCATAAACAAACTAGAAATCATAAAAGATCTTAAAATTTAATTACATGAAATTTAAATTTTTCATAGAAAAAACTACCATGTAAACACACTTCAAAAATATACATGCAGGGCTGGGGTTGTGGCTCAGAGGTAGAGTGCTTGTCTAGCATGTGTGGGGCACTGGGTCAATCCTTAGCACCACAGAAAGTAAAATAAAAACATTGTGTCCACCTATAAGTAAAAACTAAATATTAAAAAAAATACATGCATGGGTTTTTTTTCTGGATTAAGGAAAATATGTTGGAATGAGATTATGGTAATGATTACACAAGCCTGTGAATATATCAAAATTTGATGAATTTAATTCTTATTTTTTTAAATTTTTTGGTACCCAGGAATTGAACCCAGAGGTGCTTAACCTCTGAGCCACACCCCCAGCCCTTTTTATATTTTATTTAGTGACAGGGTCCTCTCTAATTTGCTTAGGGCCTCACTAAATTGCTGAGGCTGGCTTTGACCACACAATCCTTCTGCCTCAGTCTCCAGAGCCGCTGGGATTACAGATGTGTGCCACTGCACCTAGCCAATTTGATTCTTTAAAAGGATGAATTTTATGGTATGTATAAAAATTATATCTTAAGTAAAATAAATATATGTGTGTATATGCATATATGTACATATCAGAAAATTGACAAAATAAGATCCAAATGTCAATAAACACATTAAAATAATTTTTAAAATGTAAATTAACTAAGATACATTATTTTCCCCCTACTAGGCTGGTAAAATGTGACAATTACTATGGGGCTTAAAACAAAGCAAAATCAGAAACAACCTAAATTTTCAATAATTAGTTAAATAATCTCTAGTGCCATCTACACTATAATAGTTAACTGTCATATTTTTGGCTAGACAACATCCAAACACATTTAAGGAAATGTGCCCCTTTGAGAATGTTGGAAACGGGCAGTAGGATTCTGGTTCCCATTACTGAAGCCAAAGCATATGTGTTATACTGAAAGGAAAGAAGAGAGGAGATATTTCTCTTCCCCGTACCCTTGAAGCTACAATGCTGTTAAGTGATTTCTAGACTTGATGCCAGGGCAAGGAGGTAATGTGTTTTGTCCAGTGACAGCTGGCTGGACAAGTAACATGAATCCTTTTCACAGTGCCCTCAGTTCCACATCTGTCCTCACTTGGAGAGGGGTTTTACAAGTTAGGCTATAGACGCAATGACACCATCAGCATTAGCTTGTTTAGTTTGCTTGTCTGACCAGGATCACAAGGAGCAACTGTTCTGGTGTACATGTAAGAAAGTAGCTTTTGACACATAACACTAACTTTTTAT